GGGATGTGCGAGCAAATACTTGTTGGCAATGCCGTGCTCAGCCACGTTAGAGCCGAGACAGAAAGTAAAACGGGGAATGTGATCTCTGCATTGACTTTCATTTTCTACCATATTGAATTCAAATCCCACGTCCCTTGATTACTGAAATTTTGGGCACCCCCTTCCCGAAGGTAGTGCCTCAGTTGCCTTCCTAGGTCCAGCCCCGTTCCTCGGGCATCTGTTCTGTGCCATGGGGGAGAGGGGGCTGTGAAAGGAGACAGCCCCTGCCCATGGAGCTCACCCCCGGAGCAGGGTCATGGAGTTAATAAAATAGCTCCCCCAACACAGGACCACAAAGGCCAGGAGCCATGAGAGTGGCAGAGGGAACCTCACCTGGTCCCCAGGTGTTCGACCTGCTCACTGAAGGATGAATGGAGTGAACTCAGTGCTCGGCAGGAGGGCCAGACCTGGACGGGCCCAGGCAGTTTAGACCATTAGGAACTTCCCCAAATGTTTGCTTGCTAGTTAGGTGAGCACCCGGGCTAGGAATGCAAGGACGCTTATCTCAAATGAGAATCAGTCTCTCATGTGTTAAAACACATTTTGAATCTCTGTCTTGCATCGCCTTGGTTGCAAGCAGGAGCCCCAGCTCCTGACCTCAAGGCAGTTTTAAGCCAGCTTTCTCTGGAGGATGTCCTTGTGTTGAGTCAATTGCTTTTCAGACATTTATTCAAAATTACTAAGAGAGCCTTCTAGGCTAGAGACATTTTTTTTCCTCCTATAACCAGGTAGTTCACTGAGGTAGGAGAGGGGATTTTTTAAACTGATGTTAAATACAAGTTTAGTATTTAAATCGCATTTATTTGATCTCATCAGAAACCTGTTGGACGTCAAGCAAAAAGGAATTCCTCTCAAGATCAAAGCAGCTAATTTTTTAAAAAACAAACCTTCATACAATAATAGGAAAAAGAAGTGTGCACTCAGCTCGCTCTTTGTTATTCTGTATGAGTTGGTAACAACAAGACGCACATATATTTTTTTCTTTAGAAGTTTAAGCGATTGTTCTATGAGAGGTTCAGATTTCCAAACCCTGGGGCCTTCAGAACACTCCCTCTCTGACACACTGAGGTGATGCTGATTTCATGGACTTCCATTGCTTTTACGTACGTTATTTAATCTGACTTTTAGAACACCGCTGTGGAGGAGGTAGACTATGTCCTTGGATGATCATTTTAAATATGAGGCACCTCCTTTCACCAGTGAACAGTCAGTGCTTCGAAATGTCAGTGGGTAGACACTCGAGCTGATGAACAAATATTGGATTAATAGTAAAGAGATATTAAACTATTTGTAATAAATGGATAGGCATAACACACTGCAGCTCTGCAACTTCAGAATATTGTATTTAACCCCCCCCCCCATAATTGTAATGTCAGTTATAAAAGGACACTAATTTATGGGAGTTTAAGAATTTTTGAATTGATCGCATGCTGGCAGGTATAAGGATATAGCGTGCACTCTTATACCAAAGACTCTGCAATGAAGATTGCAATGCCATTTTCACATCCACGGTGGAACCGTGCCCCGTGGGGGGCGGGGCCCACCGCTCTGTCACTCTCCACTTATCCTGCACGTTGGTCATCTGGGTGAGCTTTCTCAGAAGACGCACGGTGGCCACACACACAGGAGAACCGCTGGGTACCACTGTTTACTTAGTGGGCCTTCCATCTGTCAGTCATCTTAGCGTACATTTCCCTGGATTTCATGTATAAAGCTACTCAAATAGGCTGGATGCTTCTAAATGAATCAGGACCTATTTGATCCAATGGGAATGCATACCACAGCATGAATGTAGCGTCTACTAGATTTCTGTCAATCTTGCTGTGTTTAGAACTGAAACCTTTTATTACATGATTATAACATCTGATTTTTTTTTAAAAAAGGTTAAGAGAAATAGGAACCCTTCATTCAAATACATTTTGATTCAGATTTTCCAGTTCGATTTTAATGACCATGCAGTTACGGGACTTATTTAAGGTGACAGAGACTTCCTTTATGGATAATGAGTGAACGGTCCCGTGACAAGTCTTTCAGGTTACAGTCTTTTGACGTGGAAGTTACTAATAGTCAGTTTTTCTAAGGACTGTATCTTTCCTGTGCTCATGGTATGATCTTTTCATCCGCCAGCAGCCGGAATGGACTTTTAATTAAGTCTGGTCCTTCCCAAAGTGGTCAGTTATAAACTGGGGAGGGGGTGCCAAGTCAGATCTGCCCTCTCAGGTTGAACGCTACCATTTCCCTCACTGATGGGTTTTTCCTGTGTGGTCGCTTTATTATGAACACAGAAGTTAGAACTGTTTGATTAGCTGTTTCTGTTTAGCAATAGAGTCCTTCCACCATGATATGAAGGAATGTGTTCAGACTGTGGGAATGTGTGGGTGTATCTAAATCAGAACAAATTCTATTTGAAGGGCATTTAAACAGTTAGGTTGAAATAGCCCGATAATAATGTTTAAATCACTAGGGGTGGTCCGCGAATATCAGCGATGTTGACATTTTCTGCTCTGAGATATGGAAGCCGAGTTCAGTGATTCTGTAGCGAGGGCATTAGTCAGCCTACAGAGAGCATGGCTAAGTCAGTGCTGGCGCACTGTGATCTCCACCACGCAAGCCCTTAAACGTCTTTTACCAGCTGTATGTGACTTACAGAATAGCCTTGCTATTTATAGCACTCTTGCTAATATTTGGGGGGAAAAGTACTTAAAAAGTGGCCTGTATTCAAACTAATAACTACTATTCTCCGTGATCAACTATCCCAAGGCCTTTGCAAGCAGATATTTGCACATCAGTGCACGTGTGCATTTCGAAGAGCTGCAGTTAGAAAGGAAAAAAAAAAAATCGCCACTCTGTGAGGGTTTATACCAAGATGTTAAGGGAGGTAGTGGTACTAAAATATGGGTTTATTTTCTGTACTTTGCTCTTTTCTGTTCTTATGTTCTGCAGTGAATACATATTAATTCATACAATACGTTTTTAGAAACTGCCACCACTAGGCTGCAATGATTGACATCAAATATGTGCGTCACGTGAGAATTCTGCACATAGCGATGTCATGACTGAAATCCTCAGAGGACAATTGTGCATTGACTGCTAACCTGGCCATGACTTGGGTTTTGAGCCCTTTCGGGGGTGGGGGGTGGCTCTTGGTGAAGGAAGCCATGGGAGCTGGTCAGTGAGGAGGCAGCAAGCGGTCAACTGCTTCTAGAATCCCAGCGTGTCCAACATCTCCGAGCTGGCCTGGTTTTCACAGTGGAAATGGTCCAAATTCTCCTTGTAAAATACGGTTTTCGTTTCTTACCATTATTGTTTAACCAAAGATAAAATCCCTAAAGGGACAATTGCAAGATAAATGTACTCATGAAATTAAAATACTGCATAGATTAGAGCTACTCAAAGTGTGAGGACTGGATGGCGGGGTCCCTGGGCCTTGAAGGAGGAATCTTATTTCTGTTGAATCAAACTGTGAAACATTCGGTTTACACTCTGTAGTATCTTTTTCAAAATTTATTTTCTAATTGTTGATTTTTAGTGGGTTTTTTTCCCCCTAAAACATGTCTGTTCATACCCGATATGGAGGAAAAAAATAACAGGTTTGTCACCACTTTAAACCTTTTTAAAAAATGAGTTAGAATAATTCCTACATAAAAGCTAAAGGCAAAGGAGACATATTAAGTCAAGACGCATGTGCTAACGTTTCCTATGAACTTACTAGGACGAAGGGAGGGTTATGTAAAAACAGGGGTTCTGGAATTAGAAATCCTAAAAGTAGATTTATATTGATGCTTTCGTGGTCCTCTTGCCAAGATGGAAGATTAATGCTTGGCTTCCCTCCATGATGTTTCCAGGGCCCAGAGGATACAGGAAACCAAAAGACTCTCCCCTGAAGATGTGAAGTCCATGAGGGACATTCTGACACACAACATGTACCAAGTCCGACAGAGGGTGTGTATAAAGGCTCGTCCCTATGCCTGTCCTCGGAACCAGTCCCTTGGGAATCAGTTCTTGGTCACTTTGTCCTCTCAAAGAATCCTTCTCGCTGAACAATTTCTGCTTAGTGTGGAGAACAGAAAGTTAATTGTTATGTTTCTGCGACGGAGCTGGCACCGTGGTGCACAGAGAAATGCAAGTCCGGCTGCCGGCCCTAGGGGTCAGCCTGCCCCAGCCCTGCGGTCCCGGGCTCCACAGAGCCAGACAGAACCGGGCACGGACAAGTGGTGGAGCTCGCCCACCACGGGAGAAGGATGGCACCAGGGTGCCGGGGACAGTGGAGCTGTCGCCGCGCGATTGGCTGTAACAGAGCTCAGAAAACCGAGATGCTTTAATTAGGACACGGAAACTACAGTGTTGAAAGCCTAAAAGAAAAAGGACCCATTAGGCGTATTATTTTTCAGTTTTGGAAAAAGGTGTGGGAACTAGTCCAAAGTGCGCAGAAAGAACATTTTGGGGGAGTGGGTGAGTCCTCCTGGACCTGATTGAATCAAAGGGTATTTAAACTTGGGTCCTCTAATTAGGAGGTATTTAAGTTTGAGGGGGTCAACGGAACATTCTAGTTCCTGAGTAGGATTATAAGTGAATTCACTGTGAGAGTCTCGGTTTTTGTGACTAGGTCATGGGACCCAAAAAATCATCTAATCAAAGGTCCCCATTCTCAAGAAGGAGACGCCAAGGTTGGTGGAGCTGTTTTATTTGACTTGTTTAAGGTCACAAACCAAATACAAGTTAAGCACCCGGGTCTTCCACCTGCCTCCCCGCTGCTTTTTCCATGACTCCAGACTCACACGACGCAGGGAAAGGGCCAGTTCTCCAGCTCGTGTTTCGGAAAGGTCAGTGATTAGGAGGAATGTGTCAGCAGAAGGTTCTGCACCTGCTGAAGGAACCCAGGTCGGCGTCAGTCACAGACGTTTCGAGTAAATCCGGCAGCTTTCAAATCGTTCCAAGTGAAACTGTCTCAGTAAGACTAGCACGTTCTGCCTTGGATAAGTAGTTAGGAACGTCCTGGTTGAAGAATGCCAGTCAGCTGAGGGAGGACCAGAGCCCGAAGGTGCCTGGCACCCGGTCTCTCCCATGTCGGTGGAGGATGCCTTTAGGGAAAGTCCAAAAATAGAAATTCTGAGACTCTAACCCAGTCTACAATGAGATTAACTGCCCAGTCTGTTTTTTTTTTCCTTTTCTGCAGATTTCCTGATAGTCATCTTTCTTCTTCTTTGCCAAGTGCCTATTCAGTCTGCCCTCCAGGTTTCTCCCTTCTGACCTGTGCTGGCTTCTCCTTCCTTGTCCCCAGTGAACCAGTAGGTCCTGGGAAGTCCCAGGGGGAGAACACGCAATAACCGGAGGGGAGCGCCACCTCTGAGATGGCTTTTGCTTCCACTTCTGTTACTCAGGAGGGTGGGACTCACCAGTCCGGGCCTTTCTGTCTTTCCCCCTGCACCCTGTCTTTACGTAGGTCCTGGACCCCCTCTCCTCCGCCGTGGTCCTCTTGCTCTCTTGAAGGGAAAAACCCTCCAAAGATGCAACCCAGGAGAACTATCTGCCTGCTTCGTTGCTAGCAGGAAATGTACACTTTCGATTGTCACAAAGGGTGACATCTAGAGTCCTCTAGCCTGGGTGGTGGGTCACGAGGCCCCGCACGGTGTAGGCAGAGTGGTCGGGACATTTCTCAGTCCACATCTTGGAAGAGGCCACCTTGGGAGTCAGGAGTCACTTCAAGGCAAGGCTGGCAGGAGTGCAGGGTTCGATTCTGGGGGATCCTAATACCTGGTCCCTCTGAAACGCTGCTGGTCCTACTGATCTGTTGTACCTGAGAGGGCTCCGGCCACTCCGGTTGGAAGCCACACCCCTCAACACGAGCAGTGGGAGGTCTTCCCTGGGGGGAGGTTGAGGAACTGACCCCTGGAGCTTCTCAGCGGGGCAGGCAGTGGAAGCCCTCAGGAACACGGTGGGGAGGGAGATTGAGAAACACTCTTCCTAAACTTACAAGTGAAGAAACGGGCCCCAACCCAGACCCAAGGTAAGTCAGAGACTGGCGTGCAGTCCTAAATGGTCGGGTCTCACTCAGAATTTCTACGTACTTCTGAAACTTCAGTTTTCTTCAGCAAATATTAAACGCACATCTGGAATGCACATCTTTCTCCCATAGAGCTGCGGTTTTAGCGGGAAATACAGGCATTAAGCAATCACCAGCTCCTTCACTGAAGGGCAGACGTGGAGGAAGGGGCAGGAAGATACTTGCATGTACAGGACCTGCCACCCCCCTCGCAGACAGGCCCCTCAGACAGCTCATGGTGATGCGCCACGAGGCCAAGTGGAAGAAAAGAATGCCTAAATGTTCCTTAAAGTGTAGCCTCTCTTCAAGCCAAGGTGTGGGGAATTCCCGCTAGCAATGCATAAACACACACACACACACATAGGTATATGTATGTGTAAACACACACACACACCTGAATTTTATTTTGCATGGTTGAACATTGAGTTTTTCTTGAAATTTTAGACGCTTACTTTTTTAATGTTATGCTAGTGTCGTCTATAATTCTTTAGTATCTTTAAGAAGAATATTTAATTCTTGAATATCTCATTCTTTAATGGCAGCATGCAGCATCCCTCAGAGCATGTGCACCCCGCCCGAGACACTCTTGGCCTCGAGGGTTGTCCCCAGATCTTCCTGCACCCCAGTCTCATCCTTTACCATACTTTGAATAAAGTGCTTCATTTTCCTGTGATAACAGATTCCCAGCTCTACTCCTCTGGGGTCCCCTCTGACCTCCACCCCACGCTGCCTCACGGCTCTGTCTTTTCCCTCTTCCTGGAGCGAACGCCCACAAGTCTTTCAACACTCAGCTCAGTGCAGCATATCTTCCCCCCCTGGACCAAATAGGGTGCCCTCTGCCTGCACTCCAGCTCTCCCAGTGGACCCCAATATCTTACCGCTTAACCTGCGCACATAATGGTATGGGCTCATTTGTTTGACTCCAGCAGTAGGTTGTAAGCCTTTTGAAGATCATAATTTGTAATTTTTAAAGCCCTGTGCTTACAATGGCACACAGAGCATTTGCTCTCTTGCCATTGAACTGAAAACCCTTATTAAAGCATCCATGAACCCGCGTGACAGCGCCCGCAGTCCTGATCCTGTTACCCCGGAACCCGCTGACCCAGGGGAGACGGGATACTCACACTGGTGAGAGAAGGGAGAAAGACGTTCCAATTAAGCTCTTTGCAGACACCTGAGGACCGATGTTGGTCTGTGGTTCCAAACAGATTTCCATTGGCCTGGGGAGGACAAGGGAGACATTTTTCATAAAACTAAGTTTTTCAGTTTGAAAAACTCTTTTCTTTCTCTGAGATGATGGCCTTTCTCCTGTGTTGACTAAAAGACGTCCTCTTTTTCGAACTGATGATGGTGATCCTAATCGGTTGATTATTTGAATGTATCTTGAATTGGCAAAATTTAAAAAGTAACCAGCATATAGAAATATCCAAAGTAGTTTTGGCATTTTCCTGACCCGTTAAATCCGAACACTCAGTAACCACTGGTCTAGAATAACAAACATGACCTGGGAAAGAAAGTGTGGGTGTGGGGCAGCCAAAGTCCATGGGTACCTCGGGGAGGCAGGGGTGGGTCACTGCGAGGGTCTCAGAGGGACAGTACAGATGGAGGACACTGCCGGGCGAGCCAGAGGCAGAGCTCTGTCCCGACGGGTGGACCCTGGCACACACCTTTCCTCCGGGGCCCCACCTTGCCCCTGTGACTGAGGCAGGTGCTCCGAGGATCTCCATGTGGCCTTTTCGCTCTGCTCGTCTGTGTGTCATCTCCCTGGTCTCCTGTGGCTGAAAGTTGTCCTGGAGAGGTCTGTACGCATTTGACGTCTCCTTTCTGTCCACAGACCTTGTCCTACAACAAATACAACCTCAAGCCCCAAACAAGCGAGAAGCAGGCTAAAGAGATTCTGATCCGCCGTCAGAGCACCCTGAGGGCGAGCGTGAGGAAGGGCCACAGCCTGCCCTGGGGGAAGCCGGTAAGAGCGGGGCGGACTCGGAGATCTGGCGACGACCCTCAGGCGACGACCAGCGGTGTTTAAACAACCCAACAAAACCACGACCTTGTTGCCAGAGAAAGACAAAACTAAGGGGGCTCAGGACACCAGACACCGGCCTGTCTGGGTCCAGGGCATCTGTCCACGGGGTACGTGGCAGCAAGTCTGCCCCCCAGGTTGGGTCAGTGACTGAACGCACTCCCTGGGCTGGGAGGCCAGACCAGACCCATGGCGGCCAGGTACTGGGCCGTCCAGGGAAGCTTCCGTGGACGGGGGCCCGGGCTCCAGGAAGCTCGCGTCTCTCCCAGGGAGGAATCTGCTCTTGCCAAGACTCCTGGGCCCTCTCTCCATCTCCTCGCTGTGCCTCTAAACTGTTCCACCAGAGGCCCTGCAGTGCCGTCTTATTGGGACTTCTGGATGGAGCTCGGGTCTGGACTGGACCCTCATCTCTACCCTAATCTCAGTGGGGCTGTGGGAGTCACTTGGAGAGGTGTCTATTTTATCACCATCTATTTTATCTTAGGGGGAAAGGTAATCTGTTGAAGCCTGAAGCATTTCCCTCAAACTAAAGTGAGTGAGTCAGTGGTGCAAATGTGATGCTCCAGGGTGGGGCGTGTCCTCCACTCCGCCCACCGTGGGTCGCACTCATCTGCGGCAGCTAACTCTGCTTTTATGTCTACTTCTCACCCTCAGGCTGGGACCAAAAACATCCGCTACCTCTCCTTCCCCTACAGCGATCCTCAGCGGGCAGGTCGAGATGCCAGGGTTGCTGACTGCACAGGTAACCTGTGAGCCTGGCTTCTCCTTCCTGCAAAGACTCAGATTTTCAGGCTTGTGGGCCAGAAGGCAAAATCAGGATGGTCATGTGGGTACCTGTATGACAAGAAAAAGAGAAAATAAATGTTTTATTCATTGAATTCGGACCTTTAGCTATGAACACTGAAATTTGAAATGCATATAATTTTTACTTATCATGAGATATTCTTTTAATTTTTTTCAGCCATTTAAAAATGTAACACCCCTTCGTAGCTCAGGGGCATTGGGGTGGGTCTATGTGGAGGCCATTGTTCGTTGACCCCTGTCTTAGAGAAGTATAAAATGGCACTTTTTTGAAGTTGTTGGATTCACCCACAGCTTATAAATATTAGCAGAATTCTCCAAAGTTGGCTAAATTTTACCAAAATAATTTCCCCAGATTTACTGACTGGATATTTCCTTCCATTTTGTCATCCTTTCCTAGGTAACAATGACAGTGACTCAGAACTCCCATCCAGCCCGTTCTACACACCCTCCCGAACAGAGTGGCTTCAGGAAAGACGAGGGACCCAAGGAATAATCCCGATGAAGAGCTTGCCCAGAGGAGGGAAGCTGCCCAGCTTTGGTTCTCAAAGAAAGACGAGCAGAGATGAGCACGTGGGCGGGGGCGGGAGGGCGGCTTTAAGGCCCGAGCCACTGTGTCACACGGTGCATGAGGAGCGCGACTCTGGGGAGGACAGTGAGGAGGGGGCCTCAACGGGCGGGTCCCGATGGTCAGCTGAGCACCGACCCAGCCGGGGACACCACAGGTCCCACAGCCCTTTGCTCCGAAGAAAGTAGCGTTGTGGTCCCCGGGGATTTTCCTGAGCACTGGGAGCAAACGGGCAGGCGCCGCCAGGTCCTAGCGGGCGCACTTCGTAGATGAATTCCCTGCAAGGGATGGATGTCAGTCACCCCAGGATTATCCCCAAGTGTGTCATTCATATAATTTATTGAGATGCAAGCATGATCGGGCAATAATTCCCTTCGACTCCATGCGTGTGTAACTTCCAATCAATTTAGAACCAGGGGGAGCTTTGGAAACGACCTGGCCAGACCTCCCCCGCCCCCACACCGTGCTTACAAATGAGCACACCTTGCCCGGGTCACAGGGTGAGTCCCTGCCTTCTCAGCTCGTTGTCCTCCATCCCAAGGGAATACATTCGGTTTTGATTTTGGTATGCACGATGCAATGATGACCTTTCCAGGGCGAGGTACAATCTGTCATCACATTCCTGCATTTAATCAGTAGCAGTTGTAGACAGATGCAGCACACACTACAGGATGAATCTGGGGTCTTGCGGTCTGTTTTGTCATTGGAATGCTTATTTTAGAAACAAGCATTAGAAACGAAACAGCCATAAACACGCTTTACTAGCAATGACAGAAACCACAGGCATTTACTATATGTGCATTTGTAGGGTGTGACTTCTTTCTCTAGGGTCTGAGACTCATTTCCAGTTTAATTTTCCATCTTCATCATCCCCTAGACTTGACCTTGAGCCTCACACGCCAGCTCGCCCGCTTTGTGCCTGACTTTCTCTCTCCTCCCTCCTTCCACTCTCTTCCCCTTCCCTCTTTCTGGCCACCCACAGGTGAGCAAGACTTTTTTAGTGCCGTTGATTGTGCCACGTAAGTAATCCATAATCACCAGTTATCCAGGCAGCCTTTATCACCTGCAACAATTCCTGACTGATTTAACCCTGTGCATCTTTAAGGGCCACGATCCAGTGCTTCCCAGGAGTCCGCAGGCCTGACTTGATCCCCTTAATCAGAAGTGATCAGATCAAGTGATCCCTTCCGTCTTGGGGTGCCCACACCCCGCTGGACGTGTCACACATAGAGCGCATCTAGGAATTACACTTACACACGTGCTCACGAGTCTGCCGTGGCCTAAAGAACAAGGAGGGTAGTTTGTTCATTTAAAATCTCACCCATTTATCTGTGGTGTTTCTTGTCTCTTGGCTCATCTTTTCCTGTTTTTCGCTTTTATCAATTTGCTATCCTAGATATTACAGGGCCTTGTATATACACGGCAGATTATCTATAAACATTACTGCAACCAGGACATCTCAGAGTTTGAAAGGACATTAGAGAAGATGTTGTCAGACATTCTTATTTTCCAGGTGACAAAAAATGAGGTCCTGAGAAGGTCCTGGTGCCGGTTCAGGGTTTGCATTCCCCTGAAGGACACGCCTTGCCCTCTGGTACAATCCGTGGCCACAGGGACTGACGAAGGGCTCTCACTGTCCCCGATTCCTGTTCCGTAAATGGCTTTCCCTCGGGTTCCTGTGGTAGACACGGTGATGAAAGGAGCCCACTGGTCTCTCTTCTTCTGCATCTGCAATGTAAGACTGTCTCTAAGTTGTCTAAATATTTTGATTTTAGTAACTACTGCATAAATAGTAATCAGTCCAAAGGGATAGAAGCACACATAAAACCTTGGCATTTCGGAGGTTTTCTTTTTGTTTATGTGAACAAGCAGTCAAAGAAACAGAAAAACCATACGCCCCATGAGAGGGCGTCCGTGCATCACCCTGCATAGACTCTGAGTGGAGATACAGAGACAGAGGGCTTGCC